GGATTCAGAATGATTGATGGGTGCACCTTTCATTTAGTAAGCATTCAGCCCCCAGGCCAATCTTTTTCTATCTTCATATTCCATCACAGGATAGATTTCTGTTTATGGTGACCACCCAAAGATATGACAGACTCCCAGGTATTCTCTGGAACAGTAGGTTTTGTACAGTTATGATGCTACAGTTTATACCATTTGCACTGTACAGTTTGTACAGTTATGTCACACATGTCATCAAACCCTTTACAACTCTTTATAACGACACTTGATTAGTAACATTTCGTTCTCCCCATAACAGATCATGCCATGTAACAGAGAGTTTGCTACACATGTAGCTCATGTAACATCAGAGTGGTTGTCCTTGAATTGTTCAAATAATGTTTTTTTTTTCTTTTTTTTTTGTATTCATGCGTCTTGCAATAGTTTTATCTGAGCTATTTTTATTTTCTCAGTATGTAGGGGAATTATCCATGCTCATACGCTTGTTGCTAGATGGCTTGCAGGGATTGCTGGAGTATAGTTGCCCCCACTCTGACTCAGCTGGTAGAAGCTCTGCTGCATGGTGAGAAGTTGGGCGTCAGGGCGACTGTAATGTATTTCTCTCCATACCTTGTTTGTAAGCACATAATTTAGGTGGTAAAAATAGCATTGTCAAACTGGGGATCTGGGAGTCTCCTAGGAGCTCTCCAGTTCTCCGTGACTAGATTTTGATTTTGTGTCTTCATTTGATGGTTATATAACTATATCTAAACATACACTGTGTCATCCACATAGCCACCTTATTTGTTCTGCGGCCAAGATTCCATGGGCTATACGTAGCAGCACTTTAATATCCTCAGGCTAATGAGAAAAATGATGGAGATGAACTTACCAAGCAAATAGCCCATTTGGGCCAAAGGAAAGCAAATGATATCACAGAATGTTTCATGGAGGAGGCTTTTGCAGTAATTTTAATAGGACTTCCTCATGGGATTATGGGCATGGTAAAGGAAGTTGATAATAATAATCCTATTATTAATGATTATGATGATGATTTGTGCTACAGCAGTCCATTTTGAGTGGCAGTTTAGTGTTATTTAAAATTCATAGCTTTTTTTTCCTTTTTTACTGATGCAGTTTGATATGCATTTATTTATATAACTTATAGTGTACACAGGCTTTAAGCATTCCAAGTTTATATATGCATGACTTTAAGATCATAAATTAAATAAAAAGTTAGCTTATATATGCATGACTTTAAGATCATAAATTGAATTAAAAGTTAATCAACAGGTCTTTTAGAAACATTTTGTTTTAGAATTGGCCCATGCGTGTTCAAATGTAGGACTCACTGTTAGAGCACATTGGTTGTAAGAGAAACCTGACCCAAGTATTTGACTGCTCCTGCGCACAGCTCTTATTATGTGTAGATAATTACAGTTGCTAGTCACACTATGACCATTGTCGCTGTAGAAAGGGTAGGCTGAGTCATCTCACTCCTTTGTTTTGATAACTTCCTGACACCATTGTGCTACTAATCCTTGTCTCATTGAAATTCAGACTCCTGTTTTAAAATCGCTGGGTGTCCATGATTTCAGTGCTATCATGAATACATCCAGTATTGAAAGAAATATTCGGAAACTTCCAGTACAATAATTTCATTTAATAAATGACAAAAACTAGATCCAGAGAGCGACTGAGTTGCTCAAGAGGAATGGCCAGCTAGAATTGCTATCCAGGATGTGATGTGAAGCAGATTTCCTCAGGAGTATTGATGATGTGATTTGTGAGATCAGGTTGTTATCAGAGAACCAAACATCAAATAGAATTAGGTGAGAGACAAGGGCTGTTTAATTTTTTTTCCTAATATTTATTTTTGGTTCAAACTTGATGTCACTATAAGACCATCCTTTCAGACTCTCAGACAATATACTTGCTGTTTACATGTATTTCTTAATTTTTTAAAAACAATACTCAAGACATTATTTGGTAGCATTTTATTCGATTTACTTTCTCTCCCAAGTGTTCAACATTTTGGAGACATTACTTGTAGGATTTTCCATGCGAAGATTAATCACTATTGTTAACGTCTCTTTGGACTATTAGTCTTAATGTTTTGCTAATTCAGCAAAGTGAGTATATGGAAATCTGGAAATAGATTTATGCATTTTTCCCAAGGCAATGTCACTCATAGACAGATATAAGTTCTGGAAGGACTGTTTTGAGAAATTTTTGGTGACGTTAACCAGGCTATAGAATTGGAAGATGTTTCTCACAGGACTCTGGATGATATTTTTGTTGTATCTTAATATTACATTGACTGAATCAAATCGGGCTTGTTACTCAAGCCAGGCCCACCTGCCCCAAGGATGGGCCCATCAGGAAGTTACCATCACACGTCTAAATGGAAATCAGCAGCTGCATGAGTCCAGCGCTCCCCAGTCATTTCTTCCTTTCTTTTTCTGGAAGTAACCGCACTGCACTGAATGATTTACAGCAATAGGGGTGGGTAAAAGGACCATCTTTGACAAGTCAGACCTAAAGTGCCTATGTGGGAGGCGCCTCACACACCTGAGTGTGCATACAGACCTTCTGGGGATGAAGTTAACCTGACTATTCCCATCCGGCTTGCCTGGAAGGGAACAAGCCAAGTCAGAGCTGTGGCTCACAGGGCAGGTACAATGGGAGTGTGAATAATTATGACCCTAGGAAATATTTCTTAAATGAATGAATTAGGAATGAATAAATAAGTGGAAGCACAAGCAAATAAGTGGAAGCACAAGCAAATAAATGGACAAGTTAGGAACTAAATACAAATACTTGGATTATAATTATGTGTGCATCAAATGCAGTAATTATTTAGCATAGCATTGTTCCCTTTTTGAGACTTTACTAAATGGTACATATTTGGGCATTAGAAAGGTAAGTCTACATGCCTATTACTTGTGCTTACGTCCTTTTAGGATCATATTTATTTCCTAAGGATAGGTACACTTAAATTGAAGAGAAGCCTAATAATATTGATTTTCTCTTTTCTGTCTGCTAAGATTTAAACATTGTGGATTGACACTATTGCGTTAATAGGGCCAAAGAAACCCACAATCACACAATATTTCATTTAGTATATAAAATAAGATATTTCCCTTGTGTTATAAATTGTCTCAGTTGTAACGTCAAACATGAATCTATGTTAATAAACGTAGATAGGTTTGCTTTACATAATTTAAATAGAAAGCAGTAGACCATCTCTTTGTTGTTGTAAGCACAGCGATTATTTTAAACACTAATTATTTTAATTAAAATCCATTTTCTTAGCAACAGGACACTTTTTTGTTGTCTCTGAATTAGTGATTTGGAGATAAGGCCAACATCTAGGTGATTCATGAATCACAATTAATATGTTAAGAAGTCCTTGAATGTTTAATTATGATGACCACTGGCTGTACTCCACCTATACCGTTCAAATAATACATACCTCACAAATGGCCTCCACTAAGCTGGTTTCAAACCAAATGGGAGATTCATGATTGACTCTTCTAATTACCCTATTCATCGTATTGGAAATTGTCATCTGTATGGTACAGTTTTGAATACTAGGGACCCACTGTAATTGCATAGGATTTGTAAGAGAGGTAGGAAAATAATGTTCCTTTAAAATAGAGCCAGAGCAAACCCTTGTCAGTGAATTTAAATTAGAGCACCTAAATATTTAACAGCCATATGCACTTCTAATTGACACATGGAAGCAGAGACACTTCCTTAGTAATTCTAGTTAATCAAGACACTAATTCATATAGTTGGAGGCAGGAAAAAGGATCAATGCACTTTTCAATTAGACTCTCTTGTTAGGTTAACACTGAAGTCTTGTTTCAGCCTTAGCACTAAGCATTTATTTTCTGTAAATAGCCCCATACAGGCAACAAATCAATAGGATGTAGAAATCTATTTTAGGTGCACTTTTGAGGAACCGATCCTAGAATTATTATTTTTTTAATTCAGCAAATTATAAAACTACTTGCCGTGCTATATTTGAGGGCTCAAGATAATTCAAGATTATTTTCTTTTAATTGAAAAAACGTAAAATTATGCTGGTTTTTGGAAATGTCAAAGCCATGGGGGATGTCTCCCCTCTTGAGTTGCAATATCCATTTACTCCTCATGATAGAAAAAATCCAGAGCAAAGCTTTCAGTGGTGAAGATGAGACTGGAGCAAGACAGCTGCACAGGAAGTAGATTACAGTGTGGAGATGGGACTGGAGCTGTTGACTGCTGTTGTGATACCTGGGTTCCTGTATTCTCAGTTTAAAACAATTCAAACAAAAGACACACAGCCAAAGAAGTGCAGCATAGAGTACTTTTTTTTGCAAAGGAAAAAGACTATTTTTAAGTGAGGCGCAGAATAGACAGTACACCCTGAGAGAGAGAATTCAGGGCTTGCAGCTCATGAGGATGAGGCAGCAATGACCAGCACTATGGAGACTCCCTTTGTGGGAGTTTTACATTATTATTCGTAAGGAGGTGGGAAGAGGTGTTGCCAGGAAGCAAGTTCTGAGTGGTCCTCTGGGTGCACATGTGCGGTAACTGTACATGCTTGCTCATGCATTTCGTGTCTCATTAACATCTTAAAGCTCCACCCAGGGGTGTGTTCTTTTTACTATTTTCATGAAGAAATGATCAGTCTGGCAACAGGTAAAATCAAAGTGTGCATGCTCTCTATAGGGGAAATTCTCTACTGAAGATAGCTTTGTTTGAATGAGCTCAATTACAACGCGAATGCTAATGCTTATTGTGATGACTGCATTGTTACCACGGTGGTTGCTGCGGTTGTTGTGTTTTGAGGACATGGCCATTTCCTTGACTACCTCTCCTAACTCAGAGCAAGACACCACACACAGTAAGTAGAGTCCAATGGTGGAGATGAGACTGGAGCCAGACAGGTGCAGAGGAAGTAGAGCAGTGGCATTTGCCTTTGGTTTCATAATATTTGTAAATTTGATTTGTAAAAAAAATCGTAACAAGGGTTCTGGTTTTGCTTTAGCTTTATCCTTTGGAACAAGCTATCTCATACTGTCCTCATAGGTTTTAGGGAGTGATCCAGATTTTGTTAAGCTTCAAGGTCATACAATTTTGATGATCCTGTAAGAAAAAATATATATAAAATTGTGAATATTATATTATTAGTTTTGGACATAAAATTTTTCTTTACAATAAGACAAGAAATCACAACAAATTACACATTTTATAGGCTAAAAATATTACAAATATACGAAGAAAAAATGTTTTTTAAGAAGTTTCTAGTCACTTTATTTCTGATGTTCCCTGGGAACATGTTTTTTTCCCCACAGCTTTGGCTAAAAACTCTTTGGTTACCTTTTTGTGTGAGGATGATTTTGTCATATTTTTTGCAGAGATAATAGAAAGCTAATTCCAGCATTTCTCCAGCATACTTGGTCAAATTTGTTTAATCCATATTACTATTATTGACAAGTTATTTCCAGTGTGACAACTGAAGCATGATTGTTATGTCATATGTTTTGTTTAATCACTGTGGTCAGACTTGAGAAAACTTCCTTCAAGTTAATTTCACAGAGAGGCCTCTTGCTCTGTCCACATCGATCCTTGCCGTCCTCCCCACTCGCCGGCTCTGTGTCTGGCCCGTGGAGCACATTCTCAGAACCTGCACTTGGGCATCGTGGCTCAGCTGAGTTCACGTAGAAGACTGTGCAGATTGTCCTAGGATGGCTAGCAATAACTTCATAATGCACGGAAATGGCAAAAAAAAAAAAAAAAAAAAACCCCCCCCACACACAAAACTGCCTAAATATACTCAAATAAGTGCCCACTTAATTCCCTTTGAACCCAGTCTTCAAAATCCCACGACGTGCCAAGCAACAGTACTGAAGTGCACCAGAGTGAAAGTTGGAGTGTGGAGAGAACAGACTTAACTGGTTTTACTTAGACTAATATTATTTTTATTATTCCTATTATTCCTATTATTATTTTCACAAAATTCCTTTAACGTAGGATTGGATGCACGGTCTGTTAGATCCCCTTGCCGAACTTAGTTGGGGCCTGAATGAATGAGGAGCTATGAAGCCTATGACTTCACAAGCTTTGGGGAAATTCTCCTTGATGATCTGTGTAGGTAAATGATAAGACATAGAAAGCATAATACATTCCCCATACATCTTCCTGAAGAGGTAGGCTGAAGACAGTTTCCCTTTTCAGCAATTAATGGTGAGTGATGTGTAGTTGTTCTTTGTGCTGGATTATTGAATGTTCAGGTATCTGAGTAAATGCTTGACCTCAGCACTTTAATTTAACCTTGTAAAATAGGGCTACACATTGGAAGCAGTCTAAACGCCTCAAATATTTGGGCTGTTCCTTTTCACTTACTGATATTATCGTCGAGCTTATGTATCTGTCCTGCCTGAATAGGAAGAAGATACTTTGAAAAGCACACACACAATGAACCTGACCCGAGTGTGACCTTCCTTAATTTTTTTTTTTTTTTTTTTTTGTGACTATCAGGCTGGTGATAGTATTGTGTGCTAACATTGAAGTAACTGATGCTGTGCTTTTGGACGCTGGAAAACGTTCATTTTCATTTTGCTCTTAAGTGTTTAGTGTTCTTATAATTTTGTAAATCATATGAATATAAACATGTCAGTAACTAACCTTTTTTTGGGCAAGCTTTAATAGGTTACCATTACAGATGAGGGAATTTGGCTTGTAGAAATAACTGATGTGCCTAAATCACATAGTAATGAAAGCATGAGGCAGAGATTCAGTTTCTGTCAGTGTTGTACTGCCTGGGAGACTTGTGTTAGGAGACAGAATTAATCTTTTTTTTTTGAGACAGGTCTTACTCTGTCACCTAGTTGAAGTGGTGCAGTGGTGTGATCACAGCTCACTGCAGCCGGGATCTCCTGGGCTTAACAATCCTCACACCTCAGCTTCCCAACTAGTTGAGACTACAGGTGTGCACCACCACTACTGGCTTTTTTTTTTAAGAGATGGAGTCTTGGTATGTTGTCCAGGCTGGTTTCAAACTCCCGTGTACAAGCAATTCTCCCACCTTTGCCTCCCAAAGTTCTGGGATTGTAGGCATGAGCCACCACACCTGGCCTTGGATGGATTTCAGAATCAAATTGACCTAATTTCAGGAACCTGCTCAGGATGGACACGGTGGCTCACACCTGTAATCCCAGCACTTTGGGAGGCTGAGGCAAGTAGATCACTTTAGCCAGGAGTTTGAGACTAGTCTGGGAAACATGGCAAAAACCCGTCTCTACAAAGAAAAATACAAAAATTAGCTGGACATGGTGGCACACGCCTGTGGTCCGAGCTACTTGGGAGGCTGAGGGAGGATCACCTGAGCCCAGGAGGTGGAGGTTGTAATCAGCCAAGATCACACCACTGCACTCCAGCCTAGATGACAGAGTGAGATCCTGTCTCAAAATAATAAAACAAAACAAAACAAGAAAGCTGCTCAACTATTTCATGGCCTTCATTTTCCTTAGCTAGAAAATGTCCATAACATCCGTTTCACATGTTATTGAGAGAATCCTAGGAGACAGTAGCTAGCACATATGAGACACTCAAGAAATCTTGCTCTTTTATCCTCTCAATGTGTATACTTACTGAATATGAGCATTTTATTTATAAAAACAGATATTACTGTCTTTTAGTCACTGGAAATGTCTAAGAACAAAAATTCGCTTAAACATTAGCACAAACGTCAGAGCCACATGCTCATCTGCATCACACTCCCAGCCTCTTCCTTTAAACGTTTTCTGGGGCAGGACTCATTTGGAGTAATCGGTTTTATTAAATTTCGGGATTGGAAATACGCTCCTTTCCTCTGAAACTGGAAAAATATGCCACGTGCTTTATTTCCTGAAATCTTTATAAAAACCTTATATGTTATCAATTATTTTATCCTCTGAGTGACAGAAGTTATTTTGTCTCCACTGAGTCCTGCAAGTGTGCCTCAGTGCTTTCCTTCATCTTCAAAACTTCCCTCACTCGGCTGGAATCCTCAGTCTCCTCCAAGACACTGGGAGCTGGTTCAGGGGGCAGCTGATGTCCCCATTGTCTTTGTTTTCTGTAGTCTAGTAAAATACCTACCAAGCAGTAAATGTTGCCTAGTGCCTGTTGAATTCATGTGTGCAATTCTCCATTAATATTAACATTTTTCAAGTAAATCAGATTTAAAACCCAGCAAAATATCTGATGTTTCTTTGCAAGTTGGAGCAACAAGAATATTTCTTATCTTTTATTAAAAGTAAAATTGTATTCTTCTTAGGGAATATGATAATCTAGTTATCACAATACTGCAAAAGAAGTACTAGTCCATACACCCAATAATAAACTATCGAAGTTATACTGTCAGATTATCTAATTTGTCCTAAAATGAAAACACACAAATGCAATGATCATTTGGGATTCAGAAAGTTTTTTTAAAAAGTTTCTATTTTTTGAGAAGGGGTCTCCCTATGTTGCCAGGCTTGTCTCAAGCTCCTGGGTTCACGTGATCCTCCTACCTCAGCCATGCAAGTATCTGAGACTACGGGCATGTGGCATCATGCCCAACTCAGAAAGTAATTTTGATATTTCAGTGCCTTTGACCTTTGGTAATATTTTATTTCATGAATACAAAATAGTCAACAGAGAAATAAAGAATTTGCAACAGAAGACTATGGAATACCTATGTCATTCTCTACGTCTTTCATATGCTTAAGGTGATACTATACATAAGTCTATTTCACAAAACCCAGAGCTCAATTCATAGGAAGTCCAGGTTCAGTTTCATTTTGCAGATAGGCGGTAGATAGAACCAACATCCAATATCTTGATTTCCTCTGCAGACTTTCAGCTGAGTGAACTTATGACCTAATGAGCATATATAGAGAGATATATATGTACACACACACATATACATATATACACATATATGTGTGTACATACATATATCTTACGACCTAATGAGCATATACACGTGTATATATATGTGTGTGTGTGTGTATATATGTGTGTGTGTGTGTGTGTATATATATATATATAAAAAGATCAGAAGCATATCAACTAATGACTACAATCTGGAAGGCGTTATTTAATGTTTTAGTAAAAAATATTAAAATTTTAAAAAATATAAGCAAAATTTGTTTTAATACTGTAAGACTTGGCAGATTATCCTTTCTTTAACCTCTGAAAAAAATGACAATGCTTTTCTAGAAAAACATTTAAGAAACCTCTCTTTAATTTATCATTATTAAATGTGATTAATTATTATTACTGCTGCTAAATTAGTCTTGATAGAATCTTGCATCTTAACACTTCATTTTCTTTTCTAAACAGTGATTTTTCATCTGAATCATTGGAAGTAAAACTTCTAACTTGCAGGAACCAATGAATTGGTCATCAGCAGAAAAAATAGTTAACATATTAAGCTCCTTTTAAGAATTATTGTAGGAAATGACAACAATTATGGCAGCTGAATGAGTTTGTAAGCACTTTTGGTCATAAAGGATAAAGTTTATTTAAATAGAATACAATTAATAAAATCTTCACATAAACCTAAATGGTATGAAGATATGCTTTTAATTATATGATAGAAATCACCATTGATATTGAAGACACGGAAATGGAATACATTTACAGACAGAGGGCTTCATTTTCTAGAACAGTACCTTTCTTAGCTCATTTTAGAAGAGCTATGTATTTGGAAGGTCGGTTTGTTGTCCCAGAGACTGGGACTCAATAAGGTCTCCAGCCAGCAGCAGCATCTCTGTCCCGGCAGCCTCTTTCTCTCTCAGTGCACAATGAGATTAATCTCAACATGATAGAGCACTTGACCTTGCTTGTATCACAAAGATCTTGTTAGATTATGCAGCTGGGCCATTATTAGCTCAGCTTTCTCCAGCTGGTACTTGATACAAGAGGCGTGACAAGGTCAGATGGGGGAGCTAGCAAAGCGCTTTGGTTTCATTTGAGCTAACAGATAATCATCTCCTAAACGGCGCTTCTTTTTAATTATGCATTTTGCACATGAACCTTGCATTAAGGTAAAAGAAGGTTTCAGTATGGAATGAAATAGGCTTCTCTATCAAGCTTGTTTACAGCTCATCTGACTGAGTAATCACCATCCTTTGAATTTGGATACAAATACTTGCCTTGAAGATCAAAGTGTCAGGCTTATGTTAACAAGGGCTTGGCATTTGGGTGTATTTAGCAGATCACCACATTTTGCTTATGACTCTTAACTTTTTCTCTAGGTTTTGATTTGAAGTTTTTAGGTCAGGTATGATATAATTTTTATGGGATGACAAACATTGCATATAAATGATGTTAGTTATCCATGTTATCCCACTTAGGCAAAGGAGCATTTGTTTTTAATTAATGATATTGCAGAAAAATGATAACTATACAGTATTTTCTAATATCTTTTGTGCTTTCAATTAATTTCTCTGCCAGAAGTTGGACTCCTCTAAGAACCAGATAAGAATCCTGACAGGCATGTTTTCTCTGTTTTCTTAAGTATTGCTATCAAAAGTATTCTTTACCTAATTGTAACTGATGTCAACTGAGTTTTCATTATTTTGTTCAGTCTACATAAAAACATGAATAAGACTTTGGATATTTAATTTCTTCTTTGCACAAATGAACAAATGGAGGCAGATAGAAGCAAAATGCCTTTTCTGATACCACACACTCAGTTCATTTAGTGAGATATTATAGTAATCTGAGTTTTTTCTGTCCACAGATCAAAGCTATTTCCCTCCAAAACTGACATCTGCATATCTCAGATACACAGGTATTGTCTCTTAACTCTAGGTATGGAACAATGTTCCTAACTCTCTATTTATGTTAGAATTACCTGGGGAGCTTTAAAACATAATTTCCTTGGCCTTGTTCTAGAGGAATTCTAATTTAATTGGTTGAGATTAAAGTCTGGACATTCATGTTTACAAAAACAGGCAACTCTAATGTTCAGCCAGAGGTGAGAACTGGGCATCTAGAACAAAATTAACCCCACTTTCATGGATAGGGTCTGTAATGTGTGTACGTTTCAGACAGAGTAGAAGATAACTTGTTCTTAGATGCATCTGGAAAGAGCTGTTGATTTATCTTGCTTCTATTGCTCTCCTGAAAATGTCTCAGAAAACATCACCTGGCGATGGGGGGCAACTACCCTGGGCCTCCCAGGTGGCTCTGTCGCCACTGCCGTGCAAGAACGTTGATGTCCTTCTCAAGGCTGAGATATTCCTTGTTGACGCTGATCGCCTCTGGGAGCTTGAACTCTTCAGCAGCTGGAATACCCTCTACGCGTGCCACCAGCCTCACTCACACAATAGAGTTTTGGTAGAACTCTCAACCTCTAGTTTTCAGAGGCTCAGCTCAAGCGGGATTGTGTCTTGATGTATAGGTGGGAAAATGTGTGGGGCAGAGTTTGAAAGGTCACTAAAGTCATTGTGGTGCCAAGTGATCAATGCTTCTCTAAGTCTTATAATGTATTTATCTGCAGACATGCATTTCCCTGAAAAATGACCTGGGTCCCCTGATGATTGGCTGTGTTTATGTTCAGTGAATCAGTATCATGGGAGACCCAGTATAGTGTAGCCACTGAGGGCAGAACGTTTGGAATTAGATCTGGGTTTGAATCTCTATTCTGCCCTCCCTCCTTCTGTGATCTTTGGCTGTACATCTGTCTGTAAGTCTGTCCCCTCCAGAGACTAGGGCTGATGACAGCCATCTTAGAGGCACCTGATTAAGGCTTCCGTAAGTGTCTCACGTGTAGTAGGTTTTGAATCATCAGTAGCTGTCGTTAGAAGATACGTCTCCCCGCTCAGCAAACTGTGGCCTGCGGGCCAAATCTGACTCCAGGGATTTTGGTAAATAAAGTTTTCCTGCAACACAGCCACACTCAGTCGTTAGTGTGCTGTCTGTGGCCCGCTTTCAAACCTCAGCAGCACTGTTGGGTAGTGTGACAGAGACCGTATGGCTGACAAAACCCAAATATTTATTATCTGGCCTTGTAAAGAATTTGTTGAATCGATTACATTCTAAATCGCTGCTGCCACAACTAGCACATAACCAATTTAGCATCATAGTTTGTTTAAAAAATATATAATGGGCCTGGTGCAGTGGCCCATGCCACTTTGGGAGGCTGAGGCAGGCGGATCACTTGAGGTCAGGGGTTCGAGACCAGCCTGGCCAACATGGTGAAACCCCATCTCTACTAAAATACAAAAATTAGCTGGACATGGTGATGCACGCCTATAATCCCACCTACTCAGGAGGCTGAGGTGGGAGATTGCTTGAACCTGAGAGACAGAGGTTTCAGTGAGCTGAGATCGCACCACTCTGCTGCAGCCTGGGCAACAGAGCAAGACTCTGTCTCAAACAAAAAAAAAAAGAAAAAAAAATATATGTGTGTGTGTGTATATATATGTACACATATGTGTACATGATTCATATATATATGTATACACACATAATTGTACACATATATATGTACACACATATATATATAATTTGAATCATTAATATTACTTTGTTGTGATTTATGCCCATAACTTATCAACTTTTATCAATTTATATTTATTCACAGATTAATGACAAACTTTACTCCTATTTAGAAAAATTTAGCAAAAGAGCAAACTGTTCTGTTCACGGAGACGTTTGCCAGGTCAGACACATTTTTATTCTAGAGCTGATTGTTTGAGAAACTCAGCTTTCCGTTATAAATAAACTTGACTTCAGTTTGTTTGTGAGTTGGAGAAGGGGCTGATATTCATGAGTGCCTGAAAGTTCATGAGCTCACACGTGCATTTCTGTGAGCTTGAGAAAGATGGAGAGAAGAATGAGGGGGAATAGAGAACAGAAAGCAAGGAGTGAAAGGATAATAAGATAATAGGTGGGTAGATTGAATGTCTACAGAGCAGACACTCATCATAGCCGATTCAGATGTTGGATGATAACTCTGCCTAATTTCATTACTAGGTGGAGCATCAGTTCTTTCTTCCCTAATCCTCCGAGAGAACAGACCATCTAGAGACATTTTTCAAGAGTTTATTTTCATCGCTGAGAAAAGCGGAAATTTGTACTTGAGCTTTTTCAAATAATTTATAGCATCCTGTGAAGGGATATTGTCCTCATCACTACTCCATTGGTGGCTTCGAGCTTTTATATTATCGTTTAACAATATAAATGTCACTAAGTGTGCCAGTAAATACTGACAAACCCCTGAAAAGGTCAGATTGATTCTATAACTCACACCTGTCTGATGCCAGAGGCTTTTCAGGATTTTCTGTGAACACTAATAAATAGTCTCCCATAAGGAATTGTCCACTTTTCTGACGTGTGAATGTCTCCTAATAAACTCAATGCTAATAAAGTAATGAGATGGGATCTTGTTAACAAGGTATGCAGTTTCAACAAATGTATCTGACCAGCGAGTGTATGAGAAGTGACTTGCTTTATAAGCATGATAGAATCATAGAAGCTAGGTCCATTAGAAATAGGTACATTTATTTCAGAGCTTACTCATTCGATAGGTGCATATATATATATATATATATATATATGTATGAATGATGCCTTCTGAATAGGTATATATATATATATATATATATATACACACACACACACACATACACACATTCAGAAGGCATTTAATATAAAAGTTATAATTTTAATGGTAGCAAAATTTGCAGCCTTGGTATTTTGATATACACACTATGACGAAGTAGAGATTCTCCTAACGTAGCCTACCAAAGGGTGCAAAATGGAGGTGAATGCTATTGGGATTGGAATCATTATTTACTTATAGATTTTATACAGGTTAAGGCCAGTCATGGACATTTTCTCGGTTGAGTGAGTACTAAAATTATAATTTAAAAGAGAAGAATATCCAGAATTTATTGGTCAACACTAAGTAATGTTTTTTTAATTTAACCAAATCAGGACAAATGAATTCTCACTGATGTTTTCATGTGTATGTGTGCAATTCCACACCTAGGTATATCAGAGTCCTGAGGGACTGCAGCATTGGGACCTCTGAATGAAGAGAAGCCCAGTGTGAATTTATGCTACCTCAGGGCCCTGCTCAGGCTGGCACTTGTGATTTCTGTTCTCTGGTGCCTTTCTGTGTCCCTTGTACCCAAGATTTGTACTAGAAGATGCCACTTTTGGCAAGCATCATGTCTCTAACAGTTTTATAGGGAATTAGTTCCTTACTTTATGCAAGTTTATATATTGCACATATAATCTTTTATATAACAATCACAAGTGGCCGTTATATGTTAAGTAGAAGACAGGTTAGACTTGCTATGAGAGGCCTATCAAAGGATAATGGAAGGCTTGTTAAACAAACCTGCTTAAAAAATAAATGTAAAGCCACCTGAGTTCATTATCCTTAAATATATTCTTATGATAAATATGAAAGTGACATTGGTAATTTTTTTTCAATTTGCTATTTACCTTTATTGGAAAATAATGCTTTTGAAACCCTGATATAGAAATTAACATTATCTTTTGTATGAAAACTAAAATATTTAGTAAATTCTGACCTTTAAGTGTGTCTATTTATCTCAGTATGTGCATGCTCTATCTCTATGTGTATTTAAACACATATGCCTATAATCATATATTTTAACATGTATTTAATTTATATTTAAATACAAATATTAAAAACCCTACTGTTTTCCTCTTTTCTATCAAAATTGGTAAATGCATTTATTCCTCTGATCAGTACTTGTTAATGGTATTGTTTAACTAGATTTAAAAGCTGCTTTTTCACTATGGATTTAAGATGACTGGTTTCA